AACAGAAATTAAAGTGTTGCCAATAGGAATACAAATGACAAACTTATGATAGGTGTGTTTATCTGGTCTTTCCAAACCATTTTCAGAATATCAAACTAACCAGAATGAGGAGGTAACTCATGAGCTATTTAACAGATGTTCATATATGCAATTAAGGCTTCATTTGTATGCAGGTTATTTTAATTTCTGTACAAAAGGCACACTGTTGATAGTTCTTTTGGAATGGACATCTTATTTGTCAATAATTGACTGCATATTTTGGAATTCCAAACTGTGTCGCAAAGCACAGATATGGACAGACAGAGTTAACGCTCTTATTTTCACTGCAACTTCTCTGTGTTCCTGAATATATGACACTTTAAAAATCCCAAATAGTTCTGTTCTAAGCACTTGGCAATAATTAGCATTGAATCAGCCAAATACAAACTCACCGTATAATGCAACTCTGAGAATAATGAAATACCCTGATATTAAAGCAGGAGAACATAGAAAATAGGGAAAGTAATCCACCAGTTTGAAAATGGTCTTCCCAGTCTGTCCAAGGTCCCCACAAGAGAGAGGATTCCAAACAAATTGACCAAGGACTGGTAAACGAACCTCTTGGCAAGATTTGAGTGCATCCTACCGTTTATTCAAGAGAAAATTAATCAATACACTCCACTGTACTCCATGGATTTGAGGCTACGAATGTCTATTGATGAGAGAGGAGACAACAAAATCCAGTCATAGATAACTGAAGCTAAAGAAATGCAGGCTGCAAATACAATTTTTATTTAACACTGTGACTAATTCACCAGGGGGATACATGATGGAGCTGTGGATTTTCAATAGAAAACAATGAGTTTTAATTGAGGTTGAATATTATTACACTAAAAACCGCTGTCATGGAGTAAGGGTATGGTCAGCCTCAGATTTCAGGGGTGGTCATCCCAGACAGGAGAGCAAAGCGTTCTTCTTTCAAGTTATAACGAGGGATCAATTAAATCCCCTTTCCGTATCAACTGCTGAAGCTGTAAAGAGGGAAAAAAAA